GACGCAAAGAAGGTTTCCTGCGGACAAGCCTCGTCGATTGGAATGGGCTCAAAGGTCCGTCGAATATGGGCAACCCTGTATGAATATTTTCTCTATGGCTTCTATTTTTAGTTAATTGAAGACTTTTGGAAGGCCTTCTACATTTAGGCACGTATTACAATTTTTTTTAGAAGACCTTGAAAGACATATGCAAGTTTTCCCTTCACTAGAATACATGTAAAGAGATTTGTAACTCCGAAAATCCCATAAAAGGTCTTCCATTTGGAAAAAACTAGAAGGCTATAAGAAAACTTCTATGTCATGAAAAATTTTCGAGGGAGTTTTGTATATAGGAAATCTCCTATATCTATTTTTGAAGCATCCATAGAATACTTTCCATAAGGTATGCTATCTTTAGATAATTTTAGAAAGTTTTGCTTTTTCTGGAAGACATTCTTGAAGACTAGATAGCATTTTGCATTTAAAAGATCTTGGATCTCTTGTCTAATCAGTAGCTCTAGAATTTATTCCATCTCTAGAACACTTATAGAGGTTCTCCTATTTCTAGCTGATCTGTGAGAGGTCTTCTGCCTTAAGAAGAAATCCATACATACAAGACTTTCTTTAATAGCACATTTAGGATATTTTCTATTTCAACACCTATATAAGATCTTCCATCTACATCTTCCCGAAAAATACCAATTATCCCTGCATTTAAAGTGAACGCAAATCCACACTCCTCACTTCCCTAGCGTTGAGTGAAACTTAAAAGTCATTTATAACTTTGCTCAATTTCCTCGCCCCATTTCGATAGTTTAAGATTCATTTCATAAATTATCACCAGGAATATTGTGCAGAAATGTTGGCGGTTTGTCGAATCGCAGGCTGGGTGGGTGTGTGGTTCGTTAAGTGTATGTGTGTGTGTTTTGTGTAGTTTGCATTGTGGAAACCATAAAACTTGAACTGTCTACTATGAAACGTTGGAATGCTATTGCCGCTACTATTCATCTGCATACATTTCGGTGGCTATTGCCCTGGAATGAGTGGCGTAAGCCATAAATAATAACACAACAACATTGGGAAATGAATGCCAAGCAAAAGTCTTTGGAGAAATTATTGTGGTTTGTATGTCGGTTGGTTAGTTCGTTCGTTCAGCAGGAGCAGCAGCATCGGCAGCATTCCTGGATCTGTTATTTAGGGTAAGTGGAAATTTATAGCATTTTCTCTGGCAATGGTGAGCGGTGCGGAGCAATGACGTGGTTGGCGGTGATATATGCTAAATAATTTAACCACCACCCATATTGAACTGTAACCAAATCCAAAGCATGACTTAAACTTTACATTTCTCCAATAACAACAACAACAACACGAACGAACGAAAAATGAAAACAATATTAACACCACAGTCTACAAAGTTTAGCAACAACAAACTTTTGTTATTGTCGTTTTTTGCCATACATTCATTGTGACGGTTTTTTTTTGTATTTTCTCTCCGTCTGTAGAACGTCTGCCCCCCTTTCTGAGACTTTCCGAATCTGATATAATTTCTTTAACCTTCACAGCATGAAATTTTATTGCGGCTTGATTTCACATTACTTTACCGTTCAAAAGTTTTCACTCTTACTTCTGGGAGGTGGAAAGGGGATGGTAGTATGTACCTACTCGATGTAGGAGGAGGTGGAGGAGAGTGGGCGAAATCATTTATTGCGGTCTTGTACGTCTCGTGTATTTTTGTAGTTTATGGCAAAAGTTGTCACAATTCAACAGCCAATCCAAGCCAACACATGTGCTATTTGGGGTTAAGATGACAAGCAAGATTTGCAGAATGTTTGTGTTTAAATTATATGAATTATGGTAAAATTTTTTAGACGGGGTTTTTGGTCGTTTGCACTTCAATAGAAAATAAAATGTAACATGTGGATACAATTTTGAAAATGTCTTAGTGAAGACGGCGAAACGAGCTCCTCACAAGACTTAAGAATTAGATTTTCCTGGTAAAGATATTCAATTTGTGATATCAAAAATTTTTAGGTAGACAAAAAAAAAAAAAAAAAAATAGATGAAATAATTGAAGGCATGCTGCTAAAAAAACTTTTATCTATTTTTTATAAAAGAAATATTAATTTTTTGAAAACTGTTATCGATATCGGGTGTGTTCAGAAGGAAAGTTAATTGTATCTAAGGATCTATATGGGTGTTTATATGATGAAATTTTAGCAGAACAGCACTTTTAGAAACCAAAAATGTACACCCTACTCATTAATATGAGATATTGAGAATATAAGTCCGGGACAACAATTTGTTATTGCCCTTATATAACAGTTCCCACCGATTCTCCGAGTATATTAGCTGTAGTTTGATATTTAATGCCTTCAAATGACATCGAGGACTATTAGAGGCAGTTTGTAGCCCCGTAATTTTTTAGGTAGGTTCACTTTTAAAAAAGATTGGATATAGTGGCACCTTCTGATATCCGCTATTTACAATTTTTCAACCTAAACATGCAACCGTGTTGGTAATTCGACATTTTTGGACAAAAATTTACCATAGAAAAAGATATTTGGGACGAAAATCTGCACTAGAATATGCTTAAAATAATTTAAAAAACTAGTTTTTCGTTGGTCATTGAAAAAATGTTTTTTTTTTTTTTTTAATCCACAACTATTGATCTGTTGGTCCTTGGAAAAATATTCTTTAAAAATCCACAACTATTGCACTTTTTTCTTTGAAAATATATTCTTTTAAAATCCACGACTAGTCCTTGAAAAAATATTCTTTAAAAACTCACGACTAGTAATCTGTTGATCTTGAAAAAATATTCTTTAAAAACACAGGGTTAGTGACCCGTTGGTCCTTGAAAAAATATTTTTTTTAAAATCCACGACTAGTGATCTTTTGGCCCTTAAACAAATATACTTTAAAAATCCACGACTAGTGATCTGTTGGTCCTTGAAAAATTATTTTTTAAAAATCCACGACTAGTGATCTGTTGGTCCTTGAAAAAATATTTTTTAAAAATCCACGACTAGTGAATTGTTAGTCCTTGAAAAATTATTCTTTAAAAATCCACGACTAGTCCTTGAAAAAATATTCTTTAAAAACTCACGACTAGTAATCTGTTGATCTTGAAAAAATATTCTTTAAAAACACAGGGTTAGTGACCCGTTGGTCCTTGAAAAAATATTTATCAAAAATCCACGACTAGTGATCTGTTGGTCCTTAAACAATTATACTTTAAAAATTCACGACTAGTGATCTGTTGGTCCGTGAAAAAATATTTTTTTTAAATCCACGACTAGTGATCTGTTGGTCCTTAAACAATTATACTTTAAAAATCCACGACTAGTGATCTGTTGGTCCTTGAAAAAATATTTTTTAAAAATCCAGGACTAGTGATATGTTGGTCCTTGAAAAAATATTTTTTAAAAATCCACGACTAGTGATCTTTTGGCCCTTAAACAAATATACTTTAAAAATCCACACAAGTGATCTGTTGGTCCTTGAAAAAATATTTTTTAAAAATCCACGACTAGTGATCTGTTGGTCCTTGAAAAAATATTTTTTAAAAATCCACGACTAGTGATCTGTTGGTCCTTGAAAAAATATTTTTTAAAAATCCACGACTAGTGATCTGTTGGTCCTTGAAAAAATATTTATCAAAAATCCACGACTAGTGATCTGTTGGTCCTTAAACGATTATACTTTAAAAATCCACGACTAGTGATATGTTGGTCCTTGAAAAAATATTTTTTAAAAATCCACGAATAGTGTTCTGTTGGTCCGTGAAAAAATATTTTTTAAAAATCCACGACTAGTGAATTGTTAGTCCTTGAAAAATTATTCTTTAAAAATCCACGACTAGTGATCTGATGGCCCTTGAAAAAGTATTCTTCAAAAATCCACGACTAGTGTTCTGTTGATCCTTGAAATTTTTATTAAAAATCCCTAAGTGATCTGTTGGTTCTTAAAAAAATTAAAGGTTAAAAATACATGAATAGTGATCTGTTCGTCTTGTAAATTAATATCCTTCGGAAAAAAACGACAAATAACCTGTTGACCCTTGAAAATATATTCTTTAAATAATATATTTTCAAAACAGTGGTCGGTTGGTTCTTGAAAAAATGTTGGAACACTTTTAAGAACTTTGACTTTTGAACAAACATGTTTTTATTTATTTGTTACAAGAATATCACATTAAAATCCCTAATATTTCCTTTCAACAAATTAGTTTTTTGTTTTGATTTCTTATGGTTAAATTGATGTGTTAAACAATTTAACAAAGTCAGAAAATTACAACTTTGACTTAAAGATCGAATTTTTAAATTTAAGCTTGAATTGATGAGGAATCGTCTCCATCAAAACGTCAAGTTATATATTTTCCTTAAATAGTAGGTGCTTCGCTTTGGCCTATTTTCTAGGCATTATTTCTTCTCTAGTTAAGGAATAAAAAAAAAACATGTCGTAAGACAACCCTTCCGATACTTATAATTTGGGGCTAGAGGATTATCTGATTTGAATTACGATATAAATCAAGCATTATCCAATAAAAACTACGTGTTACCAGAATTTGCTTTCACAACCTTTTTGAAACAAAATTGCTAATAACACTCTTTTTCCCACCCCAAAGTTAGCAATTTAAACACTCACCTGGCCCACAGCGTCAAAACAAACACGAATAACCTGCAGGAATTTTCTTAAATCGCTCATCGAAATGCATTTCGCAATGCATGTCTTTATTATGACAAAATAATATGCGTCATTAGGTTGGCGAAAGCCCTCAGCCCAGCAACAATTTGATTGATTGTGCACCTAATGACCCTGGCAAATTTGAATGACCGGCCAGCCAACCACCCCATAATACAATTGCTCCAAATTACGTTGTTTGTTTTATATCAGCAAATTTTAAACTGACCACATACAAGCAATTTCGAAGGGACTTTGTCGTCGTCCTAGTCCTCGTCGACGCTGTTGTCGTGGTTTGGATATTTTATTGCTAGCATTTAAAATGGATTTATCCTTACCTTAGCAAACTTCCGGCATGCGAACGATAAGTGGGAGGCGGTGAACTGCCACGAACTACGCCATTTTGGCGATCTCGATCCAAAAGTAGTAGTCTAGGATAAAACAAAAGAAACGTATGTTAGAACAATAAGAAAGAAAAAAACAACAACATAAAATGTTGCAAGAACACACAAAAACAATTTGTGTAAATTAATTGCCATTTTTTATATTCAAAGTTTTGTAGGGGGATTTTGAAAACAAGAACAACAATAGCAATTTTGTAACAACAACAACAGTTACAGCAGCAGCAAATAACCACAAAGACACCGAACGTCTAAAGGAAACTCCATAATAAATGACACAAGGACATGCAATCATTAACAATAGCTGCAGAAATTTCCTTCTTCTTCTTCTTCGTGCCATTGTCAAAAACAAATGACCGACAATGAGGAGGGAGATGGAGAAGAAGACGGAGCCACAGAAAAATCGTTTCGATTAAATTGGTTTTAACAATGGACAAGACCAAAGTGGATGTAACGGTCGAAGGAGCGGATACAATTGCTTGCAACATACAATGGGACATTCTAGTCTGGCTGGTCAAATGACATGCAATCCACTCTATGGAAAAGCCCTCCCGCCTGGCTGGTGGGCTAGATGAATGGATGTGTGTGTCCAAAAAAAAACACACACAGCCACACACCATTCCTTCCTCCGTCCGCTTTTCAATGTGTTAGTAAATGTATTGAAATCCTTTTTAAACCACATTATGTGGTTAGCCACATTTTATGGTCTAAAAAGTCCTTTCTACTTTGTAGTTATATCATTTGTTCCTGCTACTGTTGTTGTTGCAGCTGCTGGTTTTGTATTTTTTTTTTTGTTTGTTGCAAAGAGTTTAAGTTTAATGTCATTAAGCTGTGGTGCTGTTGCAAAGAGTGTGGATGGGAAGATATTGAATGTTCTGCCTTCTCATACTAACCTTAAACGATATTCCTGCATACTGGCTTGATACGAGGGAGGCGGTGGCCTATGTTGAAATTCTGGATAGAGTAGACCCTGTGGTGCACCACCACCTCTACTACACGGTCGTCTGCCACATCTGCCCAAATCGACACTGGAACCCAAGCCCAGACAGGGCGGTCCACCCGGAGCCGTCATACGCCATGCAGCACCACTGACTGTCACCAGGACGACACCAACACCTGCAAGTAAATAGAAAAGAAATGTGTTAAAGGAATTTTCATTTGTAAAGCTTGACTGTAAGTTTAAGGTGTTTTAGAGACCTAATAAGAGACTTGTGCGATAGTTGAAGAGAAAAAGTATCATATGTTGAAGATTAAAAGGTTGTAGGCACATAATGGAGAAAAAAATTAAATTTAAACCAGCACAGAAGGGCCAAAAGTCGAATGGGCCGACTGTATTACATCCTACACCACCAGAATTCCTCCTTAAAAGTGCATTAGAAAAAATATTTTAAGTCCGCGTTGTAAAGTCTGAAAGTCTATGGAGAAAATTCGCTTAAAACTCAATTTAAGAAGTCTGAAATTAGTTGCGGAAATTATCCATCCTTTAACATATTCTTCAAAACTCCTTGTTGAGAGTGGTCTTAAAAAATCTTTTAAAGGCCCTAATTCGCAAGTCAGAAAATTTTTTTAGGGCTTTTTTAAAAACTTTAAGTCCTAGATACTGATAATACTTTAAAAAGACACTGCCACTGTCCTTTGAAAAGATTATTTTAAAATCATTTTAAGAAGGTCTAAAAGTCCCTTAGAAAATTCTCTGAAAGTCCTTGGGGAACATTCTAGGAAAAAATCAATTTGGTACTCTGAAAGTCCTTTCACAAAATCTTCGAACACTTCACGTTGAGACACTTGGAAGTACTTTAGATAAATTCTTAAATAAATCTCCATTCAGAAGGCAGGAAGTTTCTTAGGACATTTGCTTAACTTCTTAGTTTGAATGGTCAAAAAGTCATTAAATTCGGTGTTTTTTAGACAGGTCTAAAGGTTCTTTGAAAATATTCACTCTAGGATGTCTGAAAGCCGAGGGAATGTTTGAAAGTTCTTCGACAAAAAGCATGAAAGCTGGGTAATTGCTTCAGAAAAATTTATAATGAAGGTCTGAGAATCGTTTGAAGAAATTGTTTAGGGAAACTCCTTATGGTCTAAACGTTTTAAAATAATTAGCTTTTTTAAAGAGATGTCTGAAAGTCCATTGGAAAATTATTTGCCAAACCACGAGGCAGGGTTTGAAAGACTTCGACAAAAAGCCCTGAAAGTCCCTCACATCAAAGGTTGTAAGACTTCTTTATATAAATTCATTACAGAGGTCAGGGAGTCATTTGCAAATTGTTTATGGAATTTCCTTTAAAATTTAATTTGAAGGATAAAAATTATAGAGGTCAGGGAGTCCATGGCAAATTTTTTATGGAATTTCCTTTAAAATTTAATTTTAAGGATCTAAAATTCCTTTAAAAAATAAAAGTAATGAGGTTCAACATCCTTTAAAAAAAAAATCACAATAAAAAATAAAAAAACAATTTAAAAAGCAGTAAGTTCAGCCGGACTTTGCATACCCCCACCATTTGGAACAGAAATTTTACAAAAATAAAATCCTTAAAAAATTCTGTTAAAATTTTAAAAATACCTAATATAGCCGTTTTATTGGGGTCTATAGGACGTGGGCCTACATAGGCATTGTTTGTCATAAGCCATTACCATATTCAAATTCGAAACTTGAAATAAACTGTGAATAATGTAGCTAAAATCATCAAAATACCTTATATAGGGAGGTACCGTTATATCGGAGCTGTGCGAAGACCTGGACCACCATAGACAATTTTCGGTCATAGGCTGTAGCATTCATTACGAACTTCAAATACGACATCTCAAGCAATTTCGTCAAAATACGAAAAATAGGGAGGTACTGATATGTAGGGCCATTACGAAGACCTGAACCTGCATAGACAATTTTCTGTCACAGGCTGTAGTTCCCATTACGAACTCTAAATACGCAATTTAAAACAATTCCGGTACATAATGACGCTAAAATCATCAAATACCGAATATAGGGAGGTACCGTTATATGGGGGCTATACGAAGATGTGGACCTGCACAAACAATTTTCTGTCACAGACTGTAGTACCCATTACGAGCTTCAAATACCAAATTTAAAACAATTCCTGTGAATAATGACGCTAAAATCATCAAAATACCGAATATCGGGAGGTACCTTTATATGGGGGCTATATGAAAACGTGGACATACATGACCCATTTACGAACTTAACCTGCCTACTAACAAAATAAATATGTGTGCAAAATTTTAGCCGTTTATCTCAATTCGCTCGAAAGACAGCGTGATTACAACAGACAGACGGACATGGCTAAATCGTCTCAGAATTTTACGCTGATCAAGAATATATATACTTTGTTGGATCTAACATGAGTATTTCGGGGAGTTACAAACGGAATGACAAAGTTAATAGTTTGGTGGAGGGTATTAAAATATTATGGAGATCTGAGAGTCGTTTGAAGAAACTGTTTAAGGAAATTCCTTAAAAACTGAATGGAGGGTATGAAAATCCTATAAAAAAACGCCGTAATGAAATGTAAAATCCTTAAAGAAAAATCATTATGGATGTCTGAGAGTCGTTTAGAATATTTTTTTTTTTTAAATCGAGAATTAGATGCCGGAAAGTTCTACTTTTAAGCAAGAGCTCGGAAACTTTCTTTGATTTGTTTTACCTTTTGTAAGTGAGGTGGTATAAAAGGGAGTAGGTCCATATAGTTGTACTGCCCTTCTACAAACTTAATGTGACTTTGATAAAATATTACGACCTTCGTCGGGAGTTATTTTGTGTGCCAGAATGCTAAACAGAAAAAAAACGTGCAGACGAACATGACTAAATCGACAGCAAAAGCCATTAAAAGGATTTGATTAAAAGGCGCCTAGATCCCTGACAACCGTATTTCCCTTAAACACATTTTGACTGTATCATGATATACGAGCGTTTATATCATACGATAAAGTCAAAATGCGATAGAGGTATAAGGATGAAGGTATATGTACTTCCCCATAAAACATCGAAATTAAACATCAATAATAATATTTGACCCTAACTTTACTCCAAATAAGTAATAATTCCGATTGCACTCCTACATACATTTTATTATACGACCAACAAACTGTTCAAGCATCGTACATTTCATGCAATAAACTTAGTTATTTATTATCACCTTATAGTGATATATTTAGTTCGTCCCAAAATAAATTTGAATGCCCTTCACATGAGATTGACAAAATTTAAAACATTGTGGCTTATAAATTACGCAAACACATTTTTGGGCCCTTAAAAACGAACACACTTGCCATATGTAAGAGCAACTACATATATTTTCTTTCTGTTGACAAAACTGACATTCCATATTTTATAACCCAAAACCAAGACTGCAAGCCTTTATTGTCACTCCCTTGACATTTTGGAAAAAAGGAAAAAATGACACATAAAAGTCAAACCCAGCAAGCGGAAGTTTGCAATTTTCCTTTCTAAACAATTTCCTGTTGGCTTTTAGGATAAACTACAAAGAAAGAAATACTAAAGGACAAAAAACCCAACACTAAGAAATTCCCAACCACAACAAAGAAAAATTCGTTGGGTATACAAATACGTGTGTGTGTGTATGTAGGGAACGTATCCAGCAGGATTTGTGTCATGAACTCCTACCAGCCAGCCAGGTGATGACAAGAAATTGCAGAAAAAAAAGCGAGTGACTGAAACCACTTGCCTGAAACTCAATACATTATATTTTCCCATAACCCTAACATTCAGCTGTTGTTGTTCATTCATTCATTCATCTTTGGCCAACAGGGAGTTCAAAGTCATTTTAAATGTTGTCATGTTGTTGTTTTTTTTTTCTTGCTGCTGCTGTTTGCATATGAAAAAACAAAAATGAATATTTGAGAAAAAACGAACTGTTTGGAAAAACAACATAAAACAAGGGCCAAACTAATGGACTGTACAACTTCTGTTATTAGTCCATCGTTAGCCAAGGTAGACAAGGGCGTTTTTGCTTGGTAGTTTAAATTTTTTTTCAACTTTATAGACATGTTAAATTTTGCGTGTTCCGAGGGATATGGTGAAAAAATTCTATGAAAATGTTATAAAAAATGATTTCAGGAAAACATTAGGGGTAGGTTGGCAGGATTTGGAATAAAGTTTAGAAGTTAGGGGATTTTTAATATTTTTTCAGAAAAATATAGTAAGGTATTAATAAATTTTTAATAAAAATTACGATTACGATCTCGTCACTTGGGTACAAAATGTTTTTTGTCATAGAAGTTATTTTTAAAATAACTTTTGGGGAGAATATCCCAGACAAAAAACAAGGAACCGATGAGGATTGGTGGGTCTTTCCGAAACCTAGGTATTCCCTGCCTTACCCCCTGGTAAACATTACCATCGTTCTCCACTAATAAATAAACGTTGTTTTTATAAAAAACAACAATAAAGGGATAAAGCCTGACCATTTTGCAACAACAAAATACTACGGTAACCCGAACAAACAAGCCACACTGTTCTAATAAAAATTTACTTTAAAATAATTCTCAGACGGCAATTTAATTACCCATTACTAGTAATGTGAAATAGCATTTAAGCTTTTTCAATATATTACGATATAGGTGGCCGTTCTTTCTTGTTTCGTTTCTCTAGCTCTCATCATAATAATTTTATACAAATTCCATTGCAACAACAATATGTTTGCAGTGATGTCTTTCGTTTTCGTTGGCATACTCTGTTTTTAGGTGACATGAAAAATGTCGTGGGAATATTTTTGTGTATGCCTTCGCCAAATTTGTTGGATGTTTTTGCATGCGAACCTCATTTATTTCTCAAAGAAACGTATGTTTTCCGGCAAGTTGTTAATATACACAGAACATTTCTCAACAAAATTAAATTATTTTGACTTTTTAAACTAGGGTTATTATTAGTTGAAACCTCTTAGTATTTTAATACGCCCCACCATAAAAAGGAGTTTTCCATTTTTTTTTCGCACATTTCGCATTTATTTCCCATATAGTTTAGTTACAATAAAAGTGAACTTAAATTCTAAGATTAGTTTGATTTTTTTTCCTAACAGCATTCTTACTTTTTCTAGGAATATTTCTTATAGTGTATTTATTTGAGGTAGGTCAGCCCATTT